AAACCTACCCTCATCCAAACCAAACAGTATCACAACAACCTCAACAAAACATTTAGCAAGATAATCAAAAAGAAACAGTCAAACATTTAGATTTACAGTATTGAACAAAAACATAACAACCTCCCAACCAACCTCCAACCTCTCTTGTCCTAGTTTCCCCCTTTCACCATTTTTTTCTGGGGCACTCTGAATTGAAGCGCGCTGGAACCAGAAGGCATCTTCCGGTGCTCCTAGAAGGCAAATTTGGATCGCAAATCGTTGCCAGAAGGGAACATTCAAAAGCACTCCCTCTGGCTTGCAACGTGCGCATGCTGCTGACAGTCGGCAAGCCAAGATTCACCATGATTTGCTTTCACAAATATCATATATCCTACAGCCAAGAGAGCTCAGGAATCCAACAGGACCTGCCGCCTGCCACATGCTAGACCTTCATCCGAAAGGTCTTGACCAGCATTCTTGAGCCTCCGGGTCACAATTGCTAAGCAAGATTGAGGTCTTGTACCTCAAGCCTCGAAATGGTTTTCCCAGGTGCCTTCCCTATGCACATAAAAACCAAAAAAAACTGCATCAGGCTGCATACCGCAGGCTCCCAAATGGAAACCTTTCACCGCCTGCAGCGCTACTGTGTAAAAATAACCTTCGGATACCTTCGGCGAATCACGGAACGAGTCCCTCACTCGTGGCCTATGTAATTTGAACCTTGCTTGCCCTCATACCAAGTCGAATTAAGTTGTGGCCAGCACAGGAACCCTCTGGCGTGGACACTGGGAGTCAAGGTGGCACAAAAACCCTGCCAATATCTGCCAATGACAACATGCTGTAGCTCAAGAAACTCAAGCGTGATCGGCACCACAATGCTACCACCAGTCTCCTCCGCACAGAGAGTTCTAGACAATTCTAGGCACAAAGCCGGTTGACAGCCATGGCGATATCCCCGTTTTCAGGCACCATGACTCCGCAACAAGCCGGGACCCAGCTGAGCTGAACGCAAGGTAGTGTTTGATAGCTTGTTCCGCTTCACCAAGGACTGAACGCTGCCGCAAGTTTCTGCCAGCGAGGGGAAAACCGCACCAGTAGTCGTGCACGTTTTTGAAAACACACATTTTTGATCATTTTTGACCGGGTTGGGGGGAGGTGTTAACGTTCATGTTAGTTTGCGTCACATGCACATGCTACGTCACGTCACTGGGTTGGGGGGGAGGTGTTAACGTTCATGGCAGCTTTCGTCACATGCACATGCTACGTCACGTCACTGGGTTGGGGGGTGTTACCGTTCATGTTAACTTGCGTCACATGCACATGCTACGTCACGTCACTGGGTTGGGGGGAGGTGTTGACATTCATGTTAACTTGCGTCACATGCACATAATACGTCGCGTCACTGGGTTGGGGGGTGTTAAAGTTAACGTTCATGTTAACTCGCGTCACATGAACATGCTACGTCACGTCACTGGGTTGGGGGGGAGGTGTTAACGTTCATGTTAACTTGCGTCGCATGCACATAATACGTCGCGTCACTGGGTTGGGGGGGTGTTAACGTTATTTAACGTTCATGTTAACTTAATTGCGTCACGTGCACATGCTACGTCACGTCACTGGGTTGGGGAAGGTGTTAACGTTCATGTTAACTTGTGTCACATGCACATGCTACGTGACGTCACTGGGTTGGGGGTGCCAACGTTCATGTTAATTCGCGTCACATGCACATGCTACGTGACGTCATTGGGTTGGGGGTGTTAACGTTCATGTTAACTCGCGTCACATGCACATGCTACGTCACGTCGCTGGGTTGGGGATGGTGTTAACGTTCATGTTAACTTGCGTCACATGCACATGCTACGTCACGTCACTGGGTTGGGGAAGGTGTTAACGTTCATATTAACTTGCGTCTCATGCACATGCTTCGTCACGTCACTGGGTCGGGGTGGGTGTTGACGTTCATGTTCACTTGCGTCACATGCACATGCTACGTCACGTCACTGGGTTGGGAGGGTGTTAACGTCATGTCTTGGGTTTCCCCTTGCTGGCATCATAAATGTAGGATGGGCACAGAAGTAGGTACATATATAAAACAGATGTTGATATTTAGTTAAAATAGATGTTGATACAATTAATACATATATAAAACTGTCGACCCTGAGATTCATGTTGTCAATTGTGTTTCATTTTGTTGTATGCCTCTTCTTCATTTAGCCTCAAGGGTTCCTGCAACATCTTGTGGCAGTCCCCTGGCCAAAAAACAATTTTGATCACCGATGGGGCACCATGCAATCCATCTTTAAGTCACAAGTTTGGTTGGCGCCATGAAGCTTGCAACCACTCTAAAGGGGTGTTTTGTATAAAGAAACGAATTAGAAAAAAACATATTCTGATTATTCTGATTCACACAGGTGGGGTCGATGCGATGTGGCGACTGTCAAAGTCGGCCATACCATGTAGTCTTTCGACCAGAACCAACCGCCATGTGAACCCAAAATTGATGCGAAGCATCAGGGTGTGGCAATGGCGTTGGATGAACTCCAAAACCAAAAGCCTTTTGGAGGTCACTGGTCGCTCCTTGAAGAAGCGCAAGGCGATGTGAGAGGGAAAAACATCGCCCACCTTTTCAAGAACAAATTCCCTGTAAATTACAGGACATCATCAAAAAAGCACTTCAAATTCCCGGGGAATTTGAAGCCTATTTTGGGGAATGAATCAGTAGTTTCGCTATGGCGAAAACGACATTTTTTTCAAAACGTTCAAAATGCTGGCGCGGTTTTCCCCCCGACGGGAAGTTTCTGCAGTTCAATGGTGAGAAAACGCTTGGCATTCAATGGCATCTACAGATATCACTACGGTGGCCCCTCTGTCAGTTGCATTCACTTCCACACTTAACAAGGTTTCAACCATGTAGAAACTGGCCGTACAAGGCCACCATTATACAAAATAATACAATTATACACCGTACTTTCCATAACCGAACAGGTGTGTAACTTTCGAGAGGGCAGACCGCAACGCAGGGCCATGCTTACCTTAAAGAAGCTGTAGAGGAGGCTTTGCACACAATCGCTGTAACATCTTGCAGCTGTAACACGTTGTAAATCATCGGAAAGGCCTGTTGTGAGCGGTGGATTTCAAGCTTTGGGGTATAATCACGTCCAATGAAGAAATCCACGCCTCATAACAGTTCGTCTTAAATTTGTAGGCTGTCAAGCATTCCGTAGTATTTGAACAGGCTGCCAAACGTCTGTTTGCCAAACGTCTGGTCTGTGATGAATCCAAATGAATCAACTAATTTGACCTCTGGACAAGTAAGCCATATTTGAAGAAAATGAAGTCTCTACAACATCCAAATCACACCCCTCTTCTACAATATTTCTCTACAGATTTCCCATGAATTCTCACTCTCTCTCTCTCTCTCTATCTCTCTCTCTCTCTCTATAGAATGCACGCTACCCCGAACCCTGCACATCTCAGGATCGCTCCAGGTCAAAAACTGAAAATTGATATACCATGATGAAAATTGTCAACATCCAAAATTGAGGGGGCAATATCTCTACAGAATATATACAACCCATTTCCCTACAATTTCGCACGGGAAATATCATCACATAGTTATACAGAGTTTTTATATTATGGTGTGTGTTTTGGAAAGTTGCTTTGAAAACGGTTATTGTTTTATCGAAGTTATTGAGTCAATCCAGATTATACAATATTGATTCGTCATGAGCGCGCGCACACATGTATACATGTGATGCATATATACGTTTACGACATTTACATCTACTACATTTACATGTTCATTTGCACTTACATTACATTTACATTTGCACTTACATTTACTGCATGTACATACTGCATGTACATTTACATTTACATTTTGGTGTGCATTTACATTTACTGCATTTACATTTACATTTAAATCATTTACATTACATTGCTCTTTATACATATATATATATATCTATGTATGTGTGTGTATCCTGTTCATTACTTGATATTTCTTGGTTTTCAGTTCCAGTCGTCTTGTTTCCTTCCTGTCCTACATCACGGCCCTTGGAGGTTCTCAGTGCTGTCCTTCTTGCCTCCTTCCGCTTCTTCTATCCTGTTTCCACACGCCAGAGCCGCAACGGATGTACTCGCTACAAGTACGGCAGAATACTTCTCCAAAACGCAGCGCCAAGATTCTACTGCTGCAACGACGCTTTCACATTCCAATTCCCGTACAATTTAGTTTTGCGCCCCAAAAACAACCCAGATGGAATCACCATTTCTCCCCACGATGGATGTTTTTTTTGAAAAATGACAACCCAGACATCACAGAAGAGTTTGTTGATGCACTAGCGGCCAAGCTCAGCGTCATAGCAGCATAACTATAACGGAGACGCTGGCTCCGTTTGGCTCATTCAAAAGGTGCCTTGATTTGGCCATTGATTTGGCCATTCATGCTATGCCCAACCGTTCCATCACTGTCTCCTTGAGTTTCTGGTGAAGAGATTGACAAGGAAGCAACTGACTGAATCAAACACCAAGGACGTCAAAAGGCCAGTACAACAATGAAATTATCTTTCTCGCTTCATCTTGACTTGGCCGCACTTTTTAATCAAATGGAAGAGCCGGGCAATTAGGGCTCTGTCAGGGTACTTGTCCTGCAAGTTGTGAATCGCAGAGCAGCCAAGCCCCTCGGGCCAAATTTGTGCAACTTTAAACCTTGAGATGCATGCACACGCAATTTAAAATTCAAAGATCTTCAAACATGGGATGCTCCCATAGTTAGGAGTCTGTGCAGGGTACAGCAGGGGACTGGGATCGCGCATCCTGCAGCCGGTCGCAGACATCGCCCCATCGGCAGGCTCTTGATAGGATTCCAGACCCAGCCCCCTACGCAAAGAAAAATGAAATCAGGGGGCGCTAAATGTCCCATTCAAGCACCCTACAATGGCCCAACAACCGTTGGAGATGTCACTGCCACTGACTGATGACAATCTTGTGTTCAATTTTGTTCAAATATATTTTCGAAAGCCACCAAAACAGGACATCTATCAACCCCTGATCTTCTCAGCAATTAATTTTTGAAACTCGGCAGTCTATTGCAGGCAGGTGCCGTCTCAGGTCTTTTTCACTGACCTTGTCATCTCCCAGCTCCCAGTCAGCATCCAATATGTATAGTCAATGTATACATACAAAAAATAAAATAGTCAGTCATCATAAACATGCGTGTATAATTATATAATATATGATTATATATATATATATGTGTGTATTTATGTGTGTTGTTATATATAGTTAAATAAACATTAATAATAAACATGTAGATTCAGAACTCCCAACGAAAGAAACAAATGCCACCACGAGTTGTACTGAGACTTCCAAAACCAAAAAGCCTTTCTGCCAAGCCACCAGCTGCAAGCGAATGCACCTCCCAGCTGGGCAGCAAAAGCTGGATCCCAACGACTTAACCAAGTCTTCTTAGTGGACCAAAAGATTTTAAAATGATTTAAAGTTGAACATACAATGCCTATATAATCTACATACAATCGTCATCATATGGTACGGCACGACTAGTTGGTTTGAACAAGAGCTCGGGTGTGATATCTTGCTTTCGCATGGCACTATATATATATATATCTATCTATATATCATCTTTAAGCTGAGAGGTAAACAGTAGCACTTGCAAGTGTCTCGATCTTTGGATCATTCGAATGTCCACTTGCCTTCAAGCCAAACTTCTTGGCAGCTGCCGAAAGGATATGCTTTCCGGCAGCAGAACTCCTGAGTTCGTTGCTGGGGTTCTTCCCCTAGGATTTTCCATCGAAATCCCCAAAAAGATCCAAAAAGGAACCCTTTTGCAAGGACAAATTATGTGGTTTGGGATGCTTCGAGCCCCCCTAAACCAATGGAGAAAAAAAAAATGCCCCGACCCCCACCCGATTTGCACCGGCAAAGTGACTGAAGCTTTGGCAAAGCCAAGGCAAGCAAGCGCTTCACCTGGTTTTTGTGCTGCCTTTCCTTTCTTTTGTGATGGCAAAAATGGTTCCAACATGGATCGCGTGGGCGGATGAGGCATCTGAATGCTGCAGTCTCGAACCCAAGCCTCCTCTTTCTCTGCTCCACTGCAGGTCTCAATCACGCGTTGCACAATATAGTTTCCAAAGCGGTCCTGGAGGACTTGCGTCCAAATCTGCTTGAGATGCACGGCAATCAACTATAGATAATTGCTCCAAAGAGTCTGATGTTGCACAATGTTGCCTCATGTCCTAAACTTTTGACTTGATTTGTGGTTTCAGCTCATCCACACAAAAAAAAAACGGAAAAAAAAAAGTAGAAGCTGATAGACCCACACACCTGGATTGGTTCTTTTCAAGGTTCTCCGAGAACGCAGCAGCCATGGCCTACTCTACACACCACTCTTCACACCCGCCACCCTACCCTACACTCCAACTCCACCACCACCACCACCAAGAAAACAAGAACACTGCACTATGCATGCGGGGGGAAAAAAAAACATATCGGTCATTGGGGATACTGTAATATCTAGATCCTTTTGGATCAATCATGTTCAAAAAATCGCCAATTTCATTGTGGAACAAGTAATAGGAAATTGATTCTGAACCCCTGGGAACGTTGTTTCCAAATTTTATCTGACAATTGCGCACCTGGCATGAGTAGTGTTGTAGGAAACACATACATGCAACGAAACCACCAGCCAATGGGGTTTTATTTCAACATTGTTGACTCACGAACTCACCACTTTCGCGTCGTCTCCAGCATGATCTGCAGCAGCGGCGGGGAGGCACTGCGTGAGGTACTGAAAAACGCATTCATCAACTCGAGACGCTCCTGGTACTTCCAGGCGATGAGGATATGATCATCGGTGAACGCACGGCTGATTCGGTGCAACCCAACTTGCGGAAAAACATGGAAAGGGGCCTACTGGGATGGCGTATGAAAGCACCATAAAAACACAGAAGCATTTATAGAACCCATATTGATTGTACTAAGCCATTTTCATGGGGCTAATCCCAACCAAAGCGGTGATTGGTGTTGGGAATGTGCGGTGGAAATTGGCTGGTTAAAGCTGGCCTAAAACCATTTCTGGGATAGCGGGATGTGCTGGGGTGGATTTTGGAAATCCAACAATGCAATATAACAATACATAACATATATATATATATATATAACATAGCAAGGTTTGGTTCGAGTCGCCCCCCGCTAACTCGTTCAACCTCAGTGGGCCTTCGCCATTGTGCCCACGGGCTCTGTGCTTCGAGCCTTTGGTTAGGGGTTATCCAAAAAACCCCAGGTCTGCGATCTTTGTTGGCCCTGATCTGAGTGTGACTTGTTCCTCAGGCACTGGGCACTGCAAAGCTCACATTTTATTTCATTTGGAACTCACCTGACCCTAGCTGTCGTTGGACCTCTGGTTGGGCTATTTCATTTGGGTACATCATTTATTGGTTCTGCGGTAGCCTTATACCGTTGGCAATTTTGCAATTTATTTGGCTGGTTCTGCGGTGGCCTTTACACCGGGTGCGACTTACAATTTTACCATTTATTTTGCTGGTTCTGCGGTGGCCTTTACACCGAGTGTGATTTTCAATTTCATAATTTGATTTGGTGATCCTCAATTCACGGAGTTGCTGGCTTAGTGATTTTCCTAGCATTGGCGCTTCTGTGTGGACAATTTGCAAGTGGATGTGCTCATTCATCTTGATTTTGACCGTCCTCGTGATCGCATTTCAATTTATTCAAGATTTTCTCATTTACCAATACCTTGAGACGGAGAGCGCGCAGACGACGTGCACAAGCAAGGTACGATTGGCATTTGATCAGGAAAGGTTTGGTCGTGGCCACTGTCAGAGATTTGGATCGAATCTATCATACGTTGGCGCACCACCATTCAAAGGACAAGGCTTTTTTGAAGAGAATCAGATTAGCAATGACGGAAGTAGAGGAAGCGTACCCATGGCGCTGTGCCAGGTGCGACAGATTAAACAAGAAGATTATGAACACATGTCCCAAGTGTCATGCTCACTGGTCGACAGGAGTCAAGCACGAGGTTCAACCTCGACAGCGGTCTGTAAAGGCACAACGTGCTCAGTGGACTCAGTGGTCGAAGTGGGACAATCAACAATGGCAGTCGAATCAGGACTATCGGTCTGGACAAGGCAATCGATCTGGGAGCAGGAAGCGACAAGATCATGCGACTGGACGGACCCCGAGTCCTCGCACACGAAAAGGCAAGGGCAACAAAAGCAACAAGAAGGGCAAAGGCAAGGATCAAGAAGATCCCATGGCAATTCCCAAAGCAATGCAACCGTTTGGGGGCAAAGCATCCACCCAATGGACGCCAGAGGCTGGAGAGGCTGGATCAGGTGGCGCAACTGGTTCGGGAACCCAAGGGCCAACTCCGAATCAGATCTATGCCCAAAATCAAGAATTTGTGGCAGCGCTGAGAAAAGCCTATCCAGATGCCGAGACCACACCAGACGATGTGACAGCCCTCATAGAGCGCACAGAGAAGGATCTGGCAAAGACTATTACAACAAACATCCATGCCAACACCAGAGCGTTGAGCAAGGCTCAAAAGGCCTTGTCAGAGGCCATGGAAGCCAGGAAGAAACATCGCACTGCATGGATGGAGTACCTCAAGGAGGGATTACAAGCCTGGGAGAAGTCTCTCGAAGGTTACCGCCGACAGCAGGCAGTTCTGCAAGAAGCTGCTGCCAAGGCGAGGCAGGACATCGCCGCTGCCAGGAAAGCCATCGAGACCAATGCCAAGGCTGCAGTGGATCCAACTACGCTCAAGTCGGCTGCGACGTCTGCAGTGAAGGAGGAGCAGGAAGATGTGAGCCAAGAGGATACAGTGGACCAAGAGGAGGACAAGCTCAGGTCCACACTCCAAGGTGTGCTCAATGCCTGCGCGAGCTCCTTGGGAATGCGACCCGATGGAGAAAAGATGGCCGAGACGGCTCAAGAAATCTCGGACAGCGAAGACGAAGGCCGCAATGCAAAGCGGCCTCGATCCAAAGATGCTGGCGAGCGATCCTTGGGATCGTGAGTGGGGGCCATGCATGTCCAGTTCCATGGATGAATGGACTGCATGAGGCCAGCACAACGAGCAGACCTGCAAATGTTGTTGAGGCCTATGGGTGTGATGGGGTTTATGCATCAACCTGTGCAGCAAGCAACATTGGAGGTCTTACAGCTCCTTCGACAATTTTCAATGCAGTTTTGCCGTGGACCCATTCTTTCACAGATGAAGCTGATTTTCTGAGCCCATATCACGCAATTCTGACAGCACAATCCCAACGTTTCGAAGTCTTGTTTTCTGCAGACGTGGAAGCCCATATACCTATTGAGTTGGATGCTTTAGGTTGTCATGGGCGTGAAAGGTCAAATTTTCCAACATCGAATTCATCTGACGCCGTCAAAAGTTGTTTTCGAGTCCAACAAGCAGAAACAAATCAGCCTCGACGCAAATCTGAACAGAACACATCTCGAGTTAGTTTTGTACCAGAAGTTTCGCTGTATCTTGGTTCGGAACAAGAACTGCGCATGTGCCGTACATCTATTTTGCACCACACACTTGTCAACTGGTCTGATAAACCTTGGCAGTTGTGGAATATCAATAAAGAAGGGGTTTGGGTGAGATGTGCTCCGCCGTCTGAACAGGCCGTGTTGAGCTCCACCCATTCCCCACAGATCATTTATTTGCAATCACTCATCCCCCAATTGCCTGTGGAAACGTGTAGGATCACTGATTTTCATGGTCAGGTGGAAGGATTGGACCGGATTGTGTCTGATGAGGATGCAAATCGCAGAGCAGATGCGGACAATGAACAACCTGTGGAAATTCCTACTTTTTTGCGACATTTGTTTGACATGGCTCTGACTGCTGGAGAGTTGACAGATGATGATGATTTGCTTATTCATGAGCGGACATGGCACATTCATCATGATGAACATCCGCAGTGTAAATTTCCCAGAGTTGTTGAACTCAATCGCGAATGGCATAGGTGGCACAGAGAGATTCTGTCTAGTTGGCCAGACAGGGTAGTTGCACAGGAACCTCATAACATTCATGTTGTCCAGCCTGAACCGCATCGACACCCAAGCTTTCAACACTGTATTGCAGACCTCATAATTGTCACTGGAAATGAAGATGGTCGATATGCAGGCTTGACCACGGTTTCGCCACTGATCCCGAACGATGGACCGCTGTATTCCATTGCAGCATCATTCCCTGCGGAAGTGAGTGGCATCATGATTCGTAGTGCTGCTGAGGCTGACCACACCTGTGAGAGACGTCGCTGCAACATTTATCATGGTTGGAATGAGATACCACAGACCTTTGAAAGAGTCCATCGCATGTCCCAAGGCGACTCTCTAGTCATATATCTCACTCGGTCTGAGGGTATTCCTGATGCTGCGGTGTCTGAACATACCAGTGAACGAGAACTTGATGCCACTCCTGAGGATATGGATCAAGAAGATGCTTTGAATGATGAATCTGCTATGCAAGTGAATGAGTCGGCCTCACCTTCTGCAGATTATCATACTAGAGCATATCCAGATGAATTGCAAACTGCTAAATTGTACAGATTGAACCACCCTACGGTTCAAGCGCGAGTGCGTTGGCGAAGCTTTAATAACCTTCTCCTTGATGTGGCCAGAAGTCTAGGTGTTCCCATTGCCCAAATTACCAGCTTGCACCACATTCGTGTGACACCAGTAGGTGAAAATGACAATGAAGCATCCATCATTGTTCAAATGGTCAATGACGTCCCTGATGGATCCAGTGATAAATTGATCCTTTTGGACATTGAAATGCATCAGTACACTGAGACAGGCCACTATCCTCGCACACCGCTTGTGTCCCGTCAGGTCAAGAAAGTTGTTTTGCACATGGCCCGACCACATATCCTTATGCTAGGTGATGTTTTTCAACTCTGCAGGGATCTGGAGGATCGATGCCTCGTTCATCATGATCATGTTTTATGGTCGCAACATGATTTGGCAGTACGTACCTTTGGACATGGCCACTATTTGCGCGTCACCGTACCTCACATCATTCCCAGACCTGCTGCCGCGCAAGCTGCAACAGAGGAGGTTGAGACAGGTCCTTTTCAAGGACGACAGGAGGTGCATGATGGCCACACTCAAAGTAGTCCCCCTGCAAGAGATGAGGGATACTCACCTAGCATCCTTGATGAAGGTGAGAACAACCATAGTGCAGGGTCTGCTCGAACAACGCATGACATGTTGTCAGATTGCTTCCATGCTATGCAGCGTCCACTGGCTTTGACTGTCGAGCAACCAGAAGGCCTTCGGAACGATAGCAGTAGCCAGGAAGACATACCACCAGACTGGTTTTTGGACCTGCAGATTTTGGTCCAACAATACGCAGACAGGTGTGACACTCAAGCTCCAGGTCAAGAAGAGTTCTTATTCTCAGTCTATACCTGGCATTTGGATCACATCAGCAACCAGCTTTGTCGAGAACCCAAGATAGCAATCCTTGGGGGCAACCCCGCTGAGTGGGAGGAAGACATCCTCCAACCGTGGGTACATAGACTCATTCCTGGGGAAGCTGCCTTTATTGATTTGGTGAAACCTCATTCTCCTCGTGCGGACATTGAGGAACACATAGCCCATCTCATTATTACGCAGCGAGTAACGACTTTGTCGTCAGCCCTTTTAGCCATGGAATTTCCAGATGATCATGCGCGCAGTGTCATTGTGCGATTTGCCATTGCTGTTCCCAGGAGCTGTCAGACGGAAGACATTACTGCGGTGGTCCCCTTTTTTGCCAGGTTTGTTGACCGTAGAATGACTTG